TTCTCCTTTGATATTTGAATTGAAAGTGAAAATCTTATACATCTTTACAGATGCATTCCTCTAAGTCAGGAGTGTCAAATTCACTTGGTCACAGCAGAGTCATGTGATGTATCTGGACTTTTTTCCCTTTTGCTAAGCCAGGCATGGGAGTGGCCCAGTGGTGGGATTCAAACATTTTTTACTACTGGTTCTGTGGGATGATGGGTGTGGTGTGGTGGGCATGGCTTGGTGAGCGTCTCAGGGGAAGGATCCTGCAAAATCCCATTCCCACTCCACACCACTAACCTGTTTTCCAGCTCTGTTCTCCTGTGCAGGGTAACAAAAGAAGACCCAGCCAATCAACTGGGACTCGGAAGGCAGAGAATAGATGGGAGCAAGGCCAGCCAGAGGTATTTGCCGGTCCTTCAAACTACTCAAAATTTCCACTACTGGTTGTCCAGAACTGGCCAGAACCTGCTAAATACCATCTCTGTTTTGGCCAGCGCATGATGCATCTGGCCTGCAGGCCGGGAGTTTGACAGCCCTGTTCTAAGTTTTAAAAAAAACAGTTTGCTAGGAGCCTGTGTTTCTTCATCCTCTTTTCCTTTGAACTAGCTAGACTTGTCACTTTTTCCTTAAAAACTTTTAAAAGTACAAGTTCCAAGTCATTAAGCAAAATCTTGTCACACATCAGCAAAGGAATCTGAACAGGAAGAGCAATGGGAATCCTCATTCAGGGCATGGCTGATTTATGGGTCAGGTGAAAAGGGCTCTGCTTTGCTCACTGTGAAGTGAGCCTTGATTTAAGTGAAGTCTTGATTTAACTTTTATAATGAATTGTAAATTTTTCCAGTGAGATTTCCCCACTTCATATGTGAAAAAAAGACAGATGTTTATCCAAATTACACAAGGTGACTAATTTAGAGGGCCAGAGTTCTCCAAAGCTGAGTGAATTTTGCACCATCAGCTGATAAGTCATGTGAATAATTAAGTCACTAGAGGAATGTTCCACCTAATTTTTCACATGACAGTGTCTCATGTCAACAAAACTGCTGTTGCTGCTGCTTTAGTTCCAGAATCCGGAACAGAAGTATGCAACTTTTTCTCGGTCAAAAGCCAAATTTGTCCTTTGGATAATCTCCTGGGACCTGCTTCCAGACAGCCACGATTTGAGGCCAAGACAAAAATGGAATCTGACATGATTTTCTTCATATTTATAGTCAGTAAGCTAAACATAGTTTGCATGATTATCTTCCAGTCAAGGATATAATAGTCTTTTCTTTTTGTCTTATAAAAATTATATTTTGTAAAACGTTGAAATCTCTTAGAACCCCACTTGAAGCTTTTGGGGCTGTCTGAGATTGGGCCTCAATTCTGGTCTATGGCAGCAATCAGAATATTCATAGCTTTCTTCATTTCATAGACATCTTGAAACACCTTAATCTTGTGTCAGAAGGTTTTCCCCTTATGACAACTTGTAAAAGACATAAATTCACATACAACTGTACTTGCTGATTTGTATGTGTACACATAAATCTTAAAAGTATAAAAAAACTATATTGAAAGCTATTTTTGTTGGGATGTTGTGGACTATTGAAGGCAAAAAAGGGGACAGGTTAGTGATAAATTAATGTCATTGTCTCATGAACATGAATTTGGGCAAATTCCAGTAGACAGTGGAGAACAACAAAGTGGTTGGACATGCTATGGTCCTTGGAGTCACAAAGAGTTGGACACAACTTAGTGACTGAACAACAACAAAGAAAGCTAACAGATCTCAGTATAACAAGATACTGTATGCCTTCTCAGTCTATTTCCTAAATCAAGGATGAGTAACCTCTGGGTCCTGAAATCTCTTTGTGAGGCCACTGGAAACCACCTCACCATGAGTCTTGGAAACTGAAGGCACATTTTCTCACAATTTGAAATTAGGAAACACTGAAAAATTATACTTAAAGTCTTAACTTTAAGTTAGCAAAATAAAAAAGATAAGCTTCTCTTCAATTTTTTGATCCTGGTCCTGACCTTTAAATTGCACTTAGACTAAATAGACATTCAAACAGGTCATTACTGACACTTCTTCAAATTAATTGTCCTCTATTAGGTAGAACAAATTATCACAGCCTTACCCTCTTGGTTAGTTTATATTTTTCCTGTTATACAAGAATCTGTCCTGCTTTTATTTCTAAGCAAAAACAAAAGAGAATTACTATACTGCCTGAAAGCAGAGTTGAATTTAGAAGCATTAGGTCAGCCAAGGTGGTTCCCCATGACCAGAAAAAATTATCTTGGCATCAGTTCACCACATGAGAAAAAGAGAAAGACTTGGTGGTTCAGTTTCCACTCACTTCCTTGCTGTAACTCATACAGAAAATGGACCAGGTGTAAAGATTATTTAGTCCTAACACAGTTTGGGCTGGTCTAAGACTGATCCCCAGCAAGCAATTTGAACATGAAGCAGAGGTGGTATTCAGAAGGTTCGGACCAGTTCTGGAGAACCTAGCAGAAATTTTGAGTAGTTTGTAGAACCGGCAAATACCACCTTTGACTGGAGATTTTACAGTATCCTTCCCCTGCCACGACCACCAAGTCACGCCTACCAAGCCATGTCACACCCACCAAGTCATGCCCACAGAACCGGTAGTAAATTTTTCACTGGCATGAAGTTATAGTACATGGTATAGTACATGGTGTTCATGCAGCTGAATACAGTGCTTTGGACTGGCTGTTCTTCTTGATTGCTCCTCTCCTCTCTTTAGGACCCATACCTGTCTATTCTGTTTTAAGTCCAAGGTTATTTTCTTTTCTTCTTTTCTTAAATCACATTTCAAATCTATGGCCCAGGGATTCATAGCTTAGTAGCTTTAGGTACCAGTCACCCTAAGAATATTTCCTTTAGTATCCCACTATGTTTCCTGTGCCTAACTTGTTAAAAAAGATTCCATAAATAAATGGAAAGCTGCCATGTTATCTAGTTTGAAAATGTGCCCACCTGTCCAGAAAAATAAAAAAGGAGAGAATTGAGGGATCAGAACATCCTATGGGATTATATGAATCAAACTCATTAAATTTGTTTTCTGGAAAATGAGCATTTTTTGAGTTACCTTGCCATGCCAGTTTCCACTGCAGTCATTATGTAAGGTGTTCTCAACATTTTATACATTTATAATCAACCACAAAATTATTCTTTGGTACTAAGGAATATTTAAAGCAAATTTAAATCTTTTGAATGGGAATTTAATGGCAAAGTTGACAATGATAGAAAACAAGCATATCTGGGAGGAGGAATGTCCTCAGATGACACATGGTTTATATTATAAACTCACACAATAATGCAGAATTATTTGAAGAGATACAGACAATTCATACAAGTAGCCACATCACTTCTAGACCCTGAGTACAAAAGGTTATCTTGTGACCTTCTAAACTGCTTTATCAGACTGATATAAGAGGACTGAAGAGAGACTGTCTGGGTGACTAAAGCTTATCCACTCCAAAGTCTTTGTTAACGCGGTTTCCATTACCTTAAAATACACAGTATAAATCAAGAAAATAAATACATTTCTGAAGGTCTTCTTAGAGCACAGATCTTACGAAATGCTATGATAAAGATGACATACTTCTCAATATCAGATTTAAAAGAAATCATACATAACTGGAAGGTACATTTTTTGTGTGGCAGAAAAGGCCTCTTACACTGAGATGACAATATATCAGTCCAGCAGAGCTACCTAACAAAACTACCTATTGATTTCAGGCTCTGCCAGAGCAGTTCAGCATCCTAACTGATCAATGGTAAGCCAAACAGCTGCCAAAATTAGATGCCAAACAAAATAGGCAAACAGGCAAATAGATATAGGTATTCCTTGATTAATAACAGTAAATGGGACTGAAATTTCTTTCTCTAAATGTGACATCATGTGACAGCAATCCTGGCACTTCCCCATCATTATTGTTTGGTGAGGATTGCAGCTTGCTAAGCGAGTCCCAGGAGACTCACAAGCAGACCAACAGGTAGGTAATCAGCTTCCCAGAAGGGGAGGCTATTACCTATGTAAGTAGCCCACAGTGAAAGTGCAGGATGGCTGCTTGATGGGGAATGGTGAGTGGGTAGCAGGTGTGAGAAGAGTGCAAACATGCAAAGACCACAGTGACTTACCACCTTTCCTATTGATTTTGCTTGTGGGAAGCCAACAAGGAAAGTTCCAATTGGGACCACGTGACTATGAGATGCATCATAAGTGCAAACAAGTTGCCAAATGCCCAGATCACTATCAAAACTTCAAGGACCAGTTGCAAGTACAATTCATTCAGTACCATCACAACTTTGTATTATTGCTGAACGAGACTCATATGAGAAAACCACCATCCTTACGTTAGTTCAGCTTCTCGTGTCTTGCTTTGTATTATTGTGGAGAGCTTTGAAGAACCACATTCTGTACCCAGAGCAAAATTTACAGAGGACCAACAATAGAAGACAACAATGATTCCTCAAATCAACTGTTTTTTCATAGCCCCTGTTATAACCAGGAGGAATCGTATGACAGCTTAAAGACATAGATAAATGAAGTGGTCTGTGATTCGTGAAAACTTTTGTTATAATAATGTTCCTTTTCTTTGCCCTCTCCATTCTTGTCATTTCTTATGCTGTTGCTTTCCTTCTTCATCCAGGTATAAAGGTGGGTTACCTTATGCAGAGTTAGACTCTGGCACACACCCCTAATCTGACTGTCAACGGTTCTCCTTGGTTTTTAACAGGTATCATTATCGAGTCCTATATAGAAGGCTTGACATGCAAAAGTAAAGCTTCTACTTTGGGCATATAGTTCTTCTCCTTTGAGAAGTAAATTACTGATGCAAAATTGCTTTCTGATACACTTCTAAGAATGAATTTATGAACGATAATGGAGATAGAGGAGACATGGAATGAAAACATTTCTACATTAATTTATGGCCAGACTCTTGATTGTCAATTGTGTATTCATGGCAAATATTTTGTACCAGGAAATATAAAGATGGTGCACAGACATCTACAGCCTCCCACATCAGTTTACCATTGGATGGCATTGTAGGGCATCTCAGGCGGGATATGTGAGAATCTAAATACTCTGAGCTACTTAATTCATTATTATTTTTTGTTCTACTAAAGGGAAATCCAATCCATTTGGATTTTCTGTGATGACCATCAAAATTGACTTGCACCCTTTCTGTTATACATTGAGGCAATGATGCTACAATGTCTAACAATTTGCCAGGAGGTCCATAACTTCAAGACCATTTACTTTGTGCCAGGGAATCTGGCTGTCAACTATGGCTTGAGGCTCATGGTTTAATTAGGGAGATCGCCAGAACCCTGACAGCGGCCTCAACATCATCCATTTATGGTTTGAGGCTCCAAACTATTATTCAAGTGTTGCTGCTGTTTTCCTTCCAAAAATGAACTTTCCTTGGATATTCCATTTATGACTGCATATGAATTCTGTCAAGTGAATGCCCCAGAGGAGAGGGTTGCATATGCTATCCATGTCACCACCCAGAGCAGAAACTGTATTTTGGAGAGTTTCTGCTGCCGGAAGAGATGATTTGGAAGAAGAAACTTCTAAACCAAGTTTGCTTCAAGAGAGTAGCCTTGCTGCTACAAGGCATCTATGTCCTTGATAACTGGAACCGGTGACTCTTCTCCACTAAGTTGTTTATAAATAAAGCAGAAAGTCAGCCTGGGCTCTTTATTCAGCAGATGGGATTTGATCTGATGAGGGAGGGCGTCATCATCCATCTGCATCGTTTTGTTATCAACTTGGACAAATAGCCCGTAGTCCTGGGGCTCTGAGACTTCAAATTTCTCAGCGCACTGCTGAATCAGCTGGTGAGTTGTGGAATTGGTCTGATATGCCAGGGTCCTTGTTTTGGCCTCGGCCTCCATAAAAGAAATTGCAATGAAATCCTGGAAAAAAGGAAGATCACTTTTGAAATAACATCAATACTCATCCCGACTCTATTAAAATACAACTCTATTTAGGCATACAATTCCTGTCAGGCTTTTTTCCCGCCAAAAAAATGGAATACAATTCATTAAAAACTAACAAGCTGCTTTTAATAAATTTCTAAAAGTTATGTTGGAAGAAATATCCTTCTGGGTTCAGCTCCAAGTGGGGAAAAAGACACTGGAAATGTGGAGGCTGTTTGGAAGGTTTAATGGTGGACAGGACCTCATGGCCTGGAGCTCCAGAGTGAAAAGGAAGGATGATCACATGCTTCAAGGTGAAGGAAGAAATCAAGAAAGGGCTGAGGTGCTGAGAGTGCCTGGGTTTTATAACCTTTGTTGGGATTTGAATTTGAGCTTGTATTCTGATTGGTTGTCAGACTCCCATGAGGGGGCAACTCTGTAGGCTGTCCTGAGTTCCAGGCTTGGTTGAGCCTTGCTGGATAATGATGCACTGAAAGGGCTTTTGAGCAATTGCTATAGCTTTACCTGGAGATCTTTGTTATGTAAAGTATTCTGGCCCAGGCCTTAATGGCCCACCTATTAACAAAAGTGGGGGTGAGCTTCTGCTTCTGAGATGAGTTTCTGCTTCTGAGTTTCTACTCTTTTTAGGGAAAATATTCTGCCTTTTAAATATTTCCTAGGATATTTCAATTTTCTAGGAGAGGTGTGGGTGCTAGCTTCCTACAATTAAAACAGAAATGATACTATGGTAAAAATGTGATTTTAAAGGTTTAAAAATGTGGAAGAAAACATTACAATGTGGGTCAAGTATAAAAGAGTAGATACTGCAGAGCTTCAGCACTATTAGCTTTAGTACAAGCCTGGATTAAGATAGTTAAGTAACTGAAACTATAAAGACATGTGGAAGGAGTTCATGATTTTTAGTTATATGATCTGAGGAAGGAGAGAGTCTGTTGGATGTCCTCAAAAAGGTTAAAGATTCTCACGTGTTCTAAGCTTTAATGAAACCAATTGTTGGAAGAAATATCCTTCTGGGTTCAGTTCCAAGTGGGGGAAAAGACACTAGATTCATGGAAGTTACTTGGAAAGAAGGTTTAATGTTGGACAGGACCACATGCCTTGGAGCCCCTGGGCGAAAAAGGGAAGAGATGGTGAGAATCCCTTGGTTTTACACCCTCTGTTGGACCACACCTTAGTGTTTCCTGTTCCTGTGTAAGAAATGTATCCCATTGGATGTCAGACTCCCAGGGGTGGGGGTCTTAGCTAACTTTGTAGACTTTGTCTGGATCTCATGGCTTCACCTGAGTGCTGGCTAATGCAATCTTCCCAGATGCCATATGGTGAGATGGGTAATCCTATCATTTCTTGAGAGCCATCTCTTAATCCCATCACCCTGGAGCTGAAGTGGGGGCAGGGAGCTGCAGGAAGCTGCTTTGTCTTTAAAACATGTTTCTCCTTTTCTCAGCCAGGGAAATATAATATTCTGTCTTTTCAATATTTACTAGAATATTTCATTCTTCTAGGAGAGAGGTGGGTGCTAACTTTCTACACAAGTAATGAATGCTTTCCATGCAGAAGGCCCTAGATTTAATTCTACTTCTGACAGGGCTGAAAAAAATGTCTTGCCTGAAACTATGAAGCAGGAATTATTTTTCAGGAAAGCAGCCAAAAAGTATACAGGTAGTCCTCAACTTACAACAGTTCATTTAGTGACTGATAAAAGTTACAACGGCACTGAAAAGGGACTTATAACCATTTTGCACGCTTTTGACTCAGTGGTGGGATTCAATATTTTTCACTTCTGGTTCTGTGGCGTGGCTTGGTGGGTGTGGCAGGGGAAGGATACTATAAAATCTCCATTCCCTCCCCACTCCTGGGGGAAGGTTACTGCAAAATCCCATTTCCTTCAGATCCCACCAACCTGCTTTCCAGCTCCATTCTCCTGTGCAGGGCAACAAAAGAAGACCCAGCCGATCAGCTAGGACTTGGGAGGCAGAGGATAGATGGGGTTGGGGCCAGTCAAAGGTGGCATTTGCCGGTTCTCCGAACTACTCAAAATTTCCGCTACCGGTTCTCCAGAACTGGTCAGAACCTGCTGAATATCACCTCTATTATGACTGTTGCAACATCCCCATGGTCACATGATCAAAATTCAGACATAGTTCATAGTTAGGACAGTTGCTGTGTCTGATGTCACGTGGTCGCCTTTTGTGACCTTCTGACAAGCAAAGTCAATGAGGAAGCCAGACTCACTTAGCAACCTGTTACTAACTTAACAACTCCAGTGATTCACTTAACAAATGTGGCAAGAAAGGTCATAAAATGCAGCAAAACTCACTTACAATTGTTTTGCTTAGCAATAGAAATTTTGGGTTCAATTTTGGTTTATAAGTCAACTACTTACTGGGTGGTCTTATTGTAGCTTTTTAAATATAAAGTTTTATATATATTTGACAATTTAACATTTGTTAAAGTTAGGAGAAGAATATTTTAAGAACATTGGCACTTTAGAGTGTTGATTAAGGACTTTATTAATATTATCTGTTTAAATTTAGGGAGAGGTTGCTATATGGTTATTTTCTCTGAACTAAAAGAAAGCTTATTTTTATTTTATTTGATTTGTCAATTGCTTACAAGATAATAGATATAAGTATAAACATGAGTAAGAATACAGCAAATAGGTACGAATAAATGGGGACAATAGGACAGGGACGGTAGGTTGAAGATCATATTTGTTAAAAATTTGGTTGCTGTATTTTTTTTCTTTCACTGTTATTTTGTATTATTATTCCATTCTCCCTTCTCCCTTTTATGTTAGATTGTATTTTAATGTCTGATCTTGAAATTTAATATTTAACACGGGGGAATAAAAGGAACTGCTACTCAGGGTAGACAATGCATAGCAAGATAGGCAAACAGTCTTCAGCCGGGGATAAAACCATTTGTTTTGATCAAATTCCTCCCAACTTGAAAAGATTTGAGATTCAGAAGGCAACTTTTGATTGTAATATCTGAAGAACTATTTATTTACAATGTGTACAAATAGCACAAAAACAAGATACTCCCTGGATAGAGACGTGCAAAGCTTGTTATTTGGGGGGGAAATAGTGTTTGCTGCCACCTTGTGGTTGAAAGGCAGGAAATCTTAAATGCTAAATTGCATATTAGGGCAGCTCAAAAGTTACAAATAGGTGTCACTGAGTCAGGTTTCATAATGGTTGCACCATCATATGCCCACTATCATTGCCTTTTTTTTTAAACAACAACATGTAAACTATTCTAAGGACTTTTGATCAATTGCCTTGATGCTATTCATCAGCCTTATCCATTGTTTTTCCAGGCTGTGCAGTGCCTTGGTTTCAAAGGCAAAAAGGCATTTTAGACCATACGGTTGATGCTCATATAAAGCTGTACTAAACTCCTTCAAAGCAGTGCCATCTTTACCCAGAATTGGGTACAGCTACTGTACTTTTCCACCTGCAGTATCATCCCAGGAAAAGATGCTTTAAAAGAGTTGATGACAGATCTAACACAGACTTTAACAGGATAACAGAATGACAGAAAAAAGAAGGGACCTTGGAGTTCTTTTAGTTCAACCCCCTGCTTAAGCAAGGAGACCCTATGCTATTCCATCCAAATGGTCATCCAAACTCTTTTTAAAAATTTCCAATGTTGGAGTAACCAGTGTCTCTGGAGTCAAGCTGTCTCAATAATTAATTGTTCCTACTGTTAGGGAATTTCTCCTTGATTCTCGGTTGGATAATGTTCCATCCATTACTTCTTGTCCTGCCCTCAGGTGTCTTGGTCAACAGGTTGACTCCCTCTTCTCAGCCCCTTAAATATTGGCAGACTGCTATCATGACATCCCTAATCCTTCTCTTAACATTCCTAGTTGCCGCAATCATTCGTCTTACATTTTCTCCTTGAGATCTCTGATCGTCTTTGCTCCTTGTCTTTTCTACAGTCTCAATATCTATTTGCCTTCAGATCAAAAGAATATTGGGGCCGCATTGTTCCCTTTTTATTCCTAGTTCACCATGTTCTCTTTTTTCTAGCCTACAATCTTGCCCATTGTATACCTAAAGTGGACAGATTTCTTTCTGTTGATCATTGCCTTGAGGACAGCAGCTTTTATTTGACCCATGACTCATTGATTGGCTGCTTGCAGTCTGTATTTTCTTAGGAACCATCTTCACCTCCATTATTCAAAAGAAACACCCTTCCTTTTCTTTGACGAATTTTCAATGCCAGTCTTCATTTTATTTTATTTATTAAACGTACATGCTGTCCATCTCATTGTACAAAGCAACTCTGGGTAACTACATATTACTATGGAATTGTTCTAATTATTCTAACTTTCGTTGTCACTGAAGTATCCTTATCCTTATCTTTCACAATGTAATCTAAGTTTGGCATTGTCTTCCTCCAGTTTTAAAACTATACTTATCTTTTTCTAATCGCACATTCCTTAATATATGTTCAATGTATAGGTTAAATAAATCAAGGGAGTGTATACTGCACAGTCATATCACATTCCTTTGCCAATCTGGAGCCAATTTCTTTCAACATGTTCTGTCCATAGTGTGCTTCCTGGCCTATATATAAGTTTATCATGAGGACCATAAATTATTCTTTGATTCCCATTTTTCTGGGCACTTTCCACAGCTTGATGTGATTGACACAATCAAAGGCCTTTCTATAATCAATGAAGCACATAATGACTTGTTCTTGGTACTTTTTTCATCAACTATCCAGCATGAATCGGCAAGAGTGCCTTACATTCCTTGGCTTTTTCTAAAACCAGCTTGAACATCTGGCATCTCTTTTTCCACACAGGGCTCTAATCTGCTCTAATCCTAAGCATTATTTTGCTACCATGTGGAATTAAGGATATTGTACAATAGTTTGCACATTCTGTTAAGTCTTCTCTCTCTTTTTGGAAATGGGATACAGATTGACCTGTCTTCCAATCCGCTGGGCACTCTTGGTCTCCAGATATGTTGGTATAGCTTGGTTTAGAACCTTCACTGACTGTTCTTTCATTGCATGTCATCTTTCAGCTGGCATTCTATCAGCTCCTGTAGTCTTTCTGCTTTGGTAATGACCAGACTGCTGTTCTAACTTGATCTTCTAGTACTAGTGATAATTCTTGTAAATAAGGGATATCTTCTGAAATATCTTGGAGTGTGACATCTTTACTGTATAGTCCTTCATTATACTCCTTTCATCTTCCTTTGATCTCCTTTGACTTGGTTACTATCAGCCCACTGACTTAGTTCATGGTGTGCTAAACCTTTTTCTGAATTCAAAGATCTTTAGAAATGTAATCACCGAACCGGTAGTAACATCAGTTGAATCCCACCCCTGGTTGTTGTTGTGGAAAAAGCAGGATGATGGAGGTGCGTTGAATATGTTCATCAACTTGAGTCATTTATAAAAATAATAAAGGCGGGACACAAATAAATGAATAAAAAATTAGAAAATAACCTCTTCAGTTTAAAAGAGTCATAGTGGTACAGTGGTTAGAATGCAGCATTACAGGGTAATTCTGCTGACTCCCAGGAGTTCGATTGTGACCGGCTCAAGGTTGACTCAGCCTTCCACCCTTCCAAAATTGGCAAAATGAGGATCCAGATTATTGGTGGTGATATGCGCTGACTCTGTAAACTGCTTTGCAAGGGCTGTAAAGTGCTGTGAAGCGGTATATAACTCTAAGTGCTATTGCTATTAAACTGATTAAACTGTCAGGGGTGGTTTCTTAGAGGTTTTCTAATAAAGCGAAGCTTAATATAAGAATCAGAATAGACTAGAGTTAGAAGGGACCTTGGATTCTTCTAGTCCAATCCCCTGCTCAGACAGGAGACCCTATACCATTTCAGACAAGTGGCTGTCCAATCTTTTCTTAAAAACTTGCAGTGATCAAGTACACACAACTTCTGAAGGCAAGCTGTTTCACTGGTTAACTGTTCTCACTGTTAGGAAGTTTCTCCTTAGTTCCTGATTGCTTCTCCCACTATTTCTTTTCCTGTCCTCTGGGAAATAAATTGACCTCTCTTCTTTGTGGCAGTCCCCCAAATCCTGGAATTGTCAGCTAAAAAGATACTCCTTTGGTATTTTTAGCTGCCAGAAAAAGGGAGTTTGGGAAAACAAGGCATTCTTGAAATGCCTAGATATCAACCCAACAGCCTAAAGTTGTTGGAGCATAAGAAGGTTGTTGGAGGGCATGATAGAGGACTCTTGGAGACTGATGTGTCCTATTGGAGAAGTCACATCCAGAGGGTGAGGGAAAGACCAGGGTCAAGGGGGAAATGTATGATGTGATTTAGTACCGGCTGTACCCAGCCATGTACGAACATGGCAATTTCTATTAAACCAATTTATTTTTTCTGAGATGCAGCTAGAGACTTTTGCTTTGGATGAGGGGGGTTTGTTGGAGCCCTGACAGGAATACTGCTATCATGTCACCCCTAGTCCTTCTTTTCTCTAGAGCGCTTACTGGGTGGTGATCAGAAAAAGGATCTTCTTAGTGATGGCACCCTACTGATAATTCATTCTTATCCATCCAGCACAAAGTAGAAATGCTCAATAGCAGTAATTGTGAGAGGGATCTTGGAGTCTTAGTGGACAACCAGATAAATATGAGCCAGCAGTGTGCAGCAGCAGCCAAAAAAGCTAATTCAATCCTAAATTGTATTAACAGAGGGATACAGTTAAGATCAAGGGAAGTACTAATACCACTCTATTAAGCCTTAGTAAGACCACACCTAGACTACTGCATCCAGTTTTGCTCACCACATTATAAAAAAGATGTTGAGACTCTAGAAAAAGTACAGAGAAGACCAACCAAGATGATTAGGGGACTGGAGACTAAAACATATGAAGAACGGTTACAGGAACTGGGCTTGGCTAGTCTAGTGAAGAGAAGGACCAGGGGAGATATAAAAGCGGTCTTCCAATATTTGAGGGGCTGCCACAGAGAGGAAGGGGTCAATCTATTTTCTAAAGCGCCTGTAGGCCAAACAAGGAATAATGGATGGAAACTGAACAAGGAGAGATTTAACCTGGAAATAAGGAGAAACTTTCTGACAGTGAGAACAATCAACCACTGGAACAGCTTGCCCTCGGAAGTTGTGAGAGCATCATCACATGAGACTTTCAACAAGAGATTGGACTGCCATTTGTCAGAAATGGTGTAGGGTCTCCCGCTTGTGCAGGGGGTTGGACTAGATGACCTACAAGGTCTCTTCCAACTCTGATTATCTGTAAGGACAAAGGTTTAAATCTGCTTTTATTCTCCCAAGCTTTAAAAATAGTTATAATAAAAATCCTCTTGTTCATTATATGGTAACTAGGCAGTGGTGCAATTCAACTGGTATAACAACTGGTTCAGTGAGTGTGCCCTTTGCGCACATGTTCTAAATGTTAAAAAGCCCATTTTCAACTCAATTACTTACCTTCTACTGCAGCCCCAGTGACTAAAACAGTTGAGGCACGGTAAACCGCTGTGCCGCGTGAATCAGCTGTGCTAAAAAAACAGGAAATAAAGCACAGGAAAGAGCAGGGGCGGGTGGGCGGAGCCAAATACTCACCAGAACTACTGATTCGCCCGAACCGGTCCTAACCGGTAGAATCCCACCACTGCATCTAGGTACTTAATTTGAGTCTTATTTATTTTCCAAAACTCTGCTTATTAGATCTTATGCCTTACAAAATTGTTAAGAAGAATATTATCAACTCTTTCTGCTTTTAAACTCTACTGGAAACTTTGCACAAGAAAGATATGCCGTTCTTTTAAAGCCGACTGAGATGATCAATGCATAAAAGGAAAGATCCATGCTTTCCAAACCTGAACAGATGATCGAGATGCCCGGGCTTTGTTAAGTGTTCTTCGTCTCTCCCATTGGTGGATCGAATCTTGAACTTCAGTGCTTAGCTGTCGAGTGCCCGGGATCTTATCATAGCTTTTGATAAGTTCTACTGCCCCATAAGTGGTGATTAAATAATAAGAACCTAGGAAAAAATGAAGAAGCATAAACCTACATTGAGCAATTTTTTATCCCTTTGCTCTTCATGCAGCTTCATACAACATTTCATGCTCTCTCTCTCTCTGGCTTATTTTAACACTATCATTTTAATACCACGGTTATATAATGGCTATATAAATGTTTTAAATTAAACGAACCAACAAACAAAATTTAAATATGGAGGGAAGTATTTGTGAAACCATAGCATGGACATCTGGGGGAGCATTCTGGTTGGGATAGAGAGATTTTCAGGCTTGGTTTCTAACCAATTCACTGGATTTAAGACAACGAAAATGTAATGGAACTGAACAACAGATGGCAGTCTTACAACAGACAGGAAAGAAAAGTAAGAATTGATGGACACTGAAATCTGATTCTACCAATCTCTTTGGGGAAGTAACCTTATGCAGAGATTTTTCAGATTGTTAATTCTGATATTTTGCATATTTGTAACATTTTGTCTTGATGTCCTTGCAACCAAGTTATAAGGACAAGTTTAAAGACATACTGAAGGAGACATTAAATCCTTGTTGCATTTGTCATTTTGAATAGCACAAGGAGCTGCATTCCCTCCTGTTTGTCTTTCTTAAATCAGTACTCTACTTTCTCCTTCCAAATGATTTCATTTACTTCCAGAGATGCAAATATGTCCATAATATTTGGCAAACAGTTTTGAAAAGCCTCCATCCCAACTATGTCCTCATTCTTTGAACGTTTCCTTCTTCTTTTTATAAAGTGAGTTGGTGCACCTCCATCTGTTCATTAGAAGCGCTGCCTAGCATTTTTGCAATACTGCTGAAGGGGAAATAAAGGAGTATTTTCAGCCTTGTCCAACTTAGTACTGCACCATCTACATATTGAATTAAGTGTCCTCTTGCATGTGAAAACAACTCCCAACTATGCAGATATATCTGGTATACTGTGTGTTTATGCAACATATCTTTGTCCAGTGATACAATACATTTATATGCCTACCATCAACAAATTATCTACAATTGACTAACAATAAAAAAAAAAACCAAATATTATAAATATGCAAAATATCATAACCCCTCCTTTCAGCTGATAACTACAGGTAGTCCTTGACTTACAACAGTGACCATTCAAAGTTACAACAGCATTGAAAAAAGTGACATGACCATTTTTCAGACCTATGACCATTACAGCATCTTCATGGTCATGTGATCAAAATTGGGATGATTGACACCTGAGTCATATTTATGATGGTGGCAGTGTCTTGGGGTCATGTGAACTACCTTTTTGATCTGCTGACAAGCAAACTGCACGGGGAAGCCAGATTACTTTAACAACCATGTTACTAACTTAACAACTGCAATGATTCACTTAACAACTGTAGCTAGAAAGATCATAAAATGGAGCAAAACTCCCTTAACAAATCTCTCACTTAACAACATAAATTCTGGCGTCAGTTGTGGTCATACATTGAGGACTACCTGTATCATGTAAGATTAATCCACAAAAAGGGGTCTAAAAAAGAATCCACATAAGAATATTTAATGTCTATTAATTCTTATTCATCTTTTTTTTGCTTTTTCTCCTCTTTTTTAATGTATTAATATCATTATTTTTGTGTGCGAATGTAAAGTACCTTCCATGTGGCTCTCTCTTAATTTTATTCATAGAAACAACCCTGTGAGGCATGTTGGACTAAGGGAGAATGACCAGCCTCAAGTCACTGATATTGCCAGTATTGGAAGATGAGCTTTTGTAATCCCAGGCTAATCTCTTAACCTTTCTCACTCCTGAACTATTCAGTGGTAGGATTCAATTTTTTTTTACTACCATTTTTGTGGGCGTGGCTTGGTGGGCGTGGTGGGGGAAGTACAGTGTAAAATCTCCAGTCAGAGGTGGTATTTGCTGGTCCTCCGAACGACTCAAGGTTTCCACTATGGTTCTCCAGAACTGGTCAGAACCTGCTGAATACCACCTCTGGAACTGTTCCTCCCAAATCCAGGCCTTGTGGTTATCTGGGCTGTAGCTGCCCAGGTATAATAGCCGTAACTGAACTACTGCAAAGAGAAAATATCGGACATGTCTGTATTTCTGTCAGTCTGGCAAGTTTTTGTTGTTATTGTGATCATTATTTTCAGAAGAAGGATGCTACGATATGGAAGTTGTTTGCCCTTCTCTTCTTTTTTCTAGTCTCGCCTAGATTGCTTAGTTTCCTGGTGGTCTCCTTATATAAAACAGGATTGATCTTACTTAGCTTCTGAATATTAGCCAAGATAAAAATAGTTTATTAGGCATATTCCATTTTACTCTCATTATATGTTCTTCTACCACCACAGGTAGGAGCCTTATGTTTTTCATTCTACCTCAGAAGGATGTACGGCAGGTTTGTCCAACCTTGGCAACTTCAAGACTTGTGGACTTCAATTTCCAGAATCCCTCAGCCAGCATGGAAGTTGAAGTCCATGAGTCTTAAAACTGTCGAGGTTGGACACCCCTACTGTAAGGCATAGTATTTCTTCAGTAACATCACCCAAAAATATGTCTTTGTGATTTTTGTTTTCTTTGGGGATTAGGTTAGGAAGGTTAATGTGAATTAAATTTATCTGAACTTTTGTGCACGGCTCTTGTTTTTGTTTTAAATCCTGGAAATCTACCAAATCTTTGTATTTTCCATGCAATGTTGATGAGATCTGGGGGAGTGGGGGCGTGCAAGAAAAGACCTGGATAAGCTTTATGTGGCCTGCAAACTGGCCACTTCTGCATTGCATCAATACACTGGCGTTCTTTCATACCTTCACCCAGCTGCAGGGCAGGGTCCATAAGTTCCATCATATACTCTACATTGAGAATCATCTCTGTCAGGTCACTGCGGGCCAGAACATACATGAGCACTGGGAGGAAGTCATCTGCTCCATGAGGCTTCCCTAAAAGGAGAACAGAGTTGACTCACTCAAAAGTCTTTGGGAGAGAACAATTGCTTGAACTTAAGGAAGTGTAACTTAGTTGTGCAATCCAAATAACAAGTTCATGAATTAACCAGGCCTTATCCAAATCATTGTAGAGCATTTGGTTCTTATAATTACCAAAACATGAACTAGAATAAGTTCTGCTGCCGATATAAACATACAAACTGACTTGGCTGCAACCCAGATTTCCAGGGTCCTTTCACTAACTTCATAGTCTTCATCAGATTTGGATACATTCTCTGAGGTATGAACTTAAGAACAGCACAGTTTGATGATTCCAAAAACTGTTTCTATGACTGCCATCCAGACACTTTGAGGAGTTCATAAGCAGGACAGAACGAGGTTCATCCTCTCCTTCTTCCTAATGACTAGTATGCCACCCCTTGCATTAAACGTAACATTCTGACTCTGTACTTCCATGAATTTACTTCTTTACCTTTTAAAGCTAAACTTTAAAACCACCACCTCGTTTCATGGCAGCAAATGACATATGCTATATCCATGATGGCGAACCTATGGCACACGTGCCAAAGGTGGCATGCAGAGCCATTTGTGCTGGCACGTGAGCTGCAGGCAAACTTACCTCACTGGGCATGCGCATGTCTCACAGCTGATTTTTGGCCAGTTTGAGACCTTTTTCAGCCTCCCAAAGGCTTGAGGAAGGCTTCTGCAGGCTTTGCAGGGTGAAAACTAGCCCCATTTCAACACTTCCTGTTTTTCCGAAAATACCAGAAGTGACGAAACAGGGCTAGTTTTTGGCCTTCCTCAAGGCTCTGGGAGGCTGAAAAAGGCCTCAAACCAGCCAAAAATCAGCTGTGAGGCACAGTGCAGGTAAGGGGGCAGCGGGGGCAGGTGGGTGCGTGGGGATTACGTGTGCATGCATAAAGGGTATGTGGGAGTGCGCATTGCCTTCTGGGTGCTGGCACACGAGTGAGAGCATGCAAGTGCGCAAACAATTTTTGGCACAGGAGCCAAAACAGGTTAGCCACCACTGTCTTATATGAAGAAATAGTACTCAGTGTTTTGTGTTATAAAAATACATTTTTGCAGAGTAAGAGTGCAGTTGTAACAGTGCTCTGTTACAAGCAAACATAGTGTGGGGAAAGGAATAGAATTCTGACCAGCTAGAATACCGTGAAATTATGGAAAGAGTTATTTTGTGATAAAAATGAACATCTAATTATGGAAGAGATCTGACTATTGTAAATGCTTACTGAGCAGAACTTTACATAAAATATGATAGTCAAATTGATTTTAAAAGTATACCAATGTTGAAGTGACATGCTATGAGATAATCTTTTATTTCCAGATGTTCTCACCAATCACAGTCCAAAACAGATTAAATCATGCTTTAAGCCCACCGTAATCAATAGGCTTAAGCATGCTTAAGTGGATTTTAGAACAGAGCCATTGGATTTTTAAAATATTTCCCTATATGTCAGAAAACCTCAGAATAAATTGCTTTTCAAGCTGAGATTTATATTCAGATGCAGCCTTAAATACTCTTTTATGCAAAACTCCCCCCCAAAATCATGAGAATAAATGATAAAAAGGAAAATCTGTAGGTTAGGTGGCAGAGCTTAAAAGCATTAAGACTTCCTTCATAAATTGTACCTTATGGTATCAATAGAATTTCATAATAATCAATCATCTTGTTTTGCAAAAACATAAAACATGATTGCTAAAGAGAAGAAATATTTCATTATTCCAATAATTTTTTGTGAAATTTTTTTCTTTGTACTATATTTCCACATTCTGTGATGACGGAGGAAGCTTTGGGTCTGGAGCGAGATCCAACAGAATGAAACAGCAGTACTTGATAGAAGGTGTTATAATGACAGGAGAGGCATAATAGAGTTATCAACTCTCCCCTCATTCCAATATTCCTGAATATTAGTACCTGGGTTCATCCATCATATATCTGAACAGAGAACTAAAGCAGAACTGTAATGTGCAATTTGTTCTCTTATGCAATAATTGTACTGATTTTGATCATTTGGGAAGAACTAGATAAATTCACTGGGAAAAGAACTATCAGTGGTTGCCACATTCTGTAATGGAAGTTTTGCCTCCAGAATCTCAGCCATGACTGCCAAAAATAATAATGAAAGCCAGCTGCATGACCTTGGGCCAATTACTCTTTCGCAGCCCAATTCACCTCACAGGGTACTTGTTGTGTGGGAAAAATAGGAGAAGGAAGGTGTGTTGGATATGTTCACTGTCTCCAGTTATTTTATTTATATATATATATATATATATATATATATATATGACAGGTAGATAGATGATAGATAGATGGTAGGTAAGTAGGTAGGTAGGTAGATGATGGATAGATAGATAGATAGATAGATAGATAGATAGATAGATAGATAGATAGATAGATGATAAATAGGAGAGGATGGGAAAATATGACTGCTTTTAAACTTGTTATTTCTTCCTTTTCTGAGTATTTTTTTAGTGAACTTAGATACACTATTAGAGTTAACTATAGTTTGAAAATATGGTTGGTTTTTTGGTAAATTTTCTTTAAGATTTCCCTACCCCGTTGGTCTTTGGTACATCTTTTTAAACTCCACCCAGAGAAAGTTGCAATTAGTCACTGGACATTTCCTCACAGCCATATTGGCATAATTCTTCCCATCCCTGATTCAATAGTTATGTATACTGGCATAAATTACATTGCACAGATGGCTGTACTATATTCTGTTTTAGTGATAAGGCTTGAAAGAGGGCAAAGTTTCGTTCTCCGAGCTTGTGGGTTGATTTCTGAACGTTTTTAGGAGATGTCAGTGTCAGTGTTCCTCTGTTTATAAGGCTTCAGATGTGGGTGTGTCAAGTGAGGGTCTTGTGATGGGTCAACCTTCACAAGACCCCTCACTTGACACACCCACAACTCAATCCTTATAAACAGAAGAACACTGACATCCCCTGAAATCAGCTGACGATGTTATCTAGCCCGGTAACGAAAACATTCAGAAACCAACCCACAAGCTCAGAGAACGAACCTTCACTTTCACCCTACATCCAAGCTATAGATATTTGCCACTATTGCATAAAGTTTGAAAATAGGCTGCTCTTATATTATATGTAATATAATATAATCCTTACATTATTCCATATTATATTATATGTAATATAATGTAATATGGAATAATTTAAGGACAATAATTGATGCACTTTCCTGGCTGCCTCTTCTCTTTACCCAGCATCACCTGTAGGCAGGAAAAGCCACTTCCAATTGCTGCTCTTAACATGTAGTGGGACAGACCTGGCCAATTGTGGGCAGTTTCCTGGGATGGAGACTTTCGCCACCTTTCATGGTGCTCTAGTGATAGATCATCCATGTTGGAAAATCAACATTGCTGATCTGCTGCTCAGGCTGTTTGTGAACATTGGTCTATTCTTCCAGTAGAGCATTACATCTTTGTCTCAAACTAGCTTAGTTGACAGATCAGTAGATCAGAGAAAGGGGTTGGGAGACATGGGATGGAGCAACACTTTCTGTTTTAATATATACAATTCTTAATACACCTATCCATCAGGATGGAGGAGTAGCAAAGAGCATCAGCTGATCTCCCTCCCATGTACCTCTGCCGTCCCTCTGAAGTGTTTTCTTGGGACAAAACTGCCTTATTACTATGGATACTATGGATTGTTATATATATTAAGCACAAAGTATACATGGGACCTTTCCCTGATCAGAGCTGAAGTGCTACCCACCCATCCTTGAGTCTGCAAAAAAAAAAACCAATTATCAATACAAAATTAATGTCCCTGTTGACAGTCCTTCTGAGGAATACTGCCTCTGTTTCACGACACTAGAATTACTTGACATCCCTCCAAAATAACATATTACAAAACCTAAAACATTTTACAACACTTTGAGGCTGTGGTCAGATGTGTTAATGTAAAGGAGGAAATGCTGCTTTACCACAAGTGCAGCAAAGAATCACTTAAAGCTGCCTCGCTCATGGACTGTGGACAAGATAAAGTCAATGGCATGGGAACACATTTGAAAAAAAAAATACTGCTGCTAAGTATGATGCGATTAGGAGGAAGAAAGGGACCACAAGTTATCTAGAAAAAATAGAGGTTTTATACTATCTTTTCCAGACTTGGGTGCCCAGATAAGGGGGACTCTTGAACTAGAACAGTTCATGGTTGTTAAATTATCTGCACATATTAGAACCTCAGATGTGTCCTGCTGCGCATGGATCAAGCCAGCTTGTCCAAGAAGAGTGGGAAAAGATATCTGAAGAGTGTCTGACAGGAGTTATGCTTAGCATACACTGGTAGGACTATATTCTGGATTCTCTAGAGAGCCGCTTAGTTCAGGAAAAGGGGAAATGATTGAAGCTTCTACTATGGCTGAATTGTGTGCGAGCACATCTTGTGAAGTGCAAATAGTGGTCCACAGTTGGTGAGTGCTAGATTGAACGATGCTAGGTTATGGAATGTGCCAGAGAGACAGGTTATACTCTCTAGTATTTGTCTTTCTGAGAAGCAAGAAAGGAAAGAGAAGAATCTGTGGAAATCTGATTGAATTCTCCGTCTGCTGTGACCTCTGACCAAATTAGCAGTTGTAAATTGTTCAGGGATTCCTTCAGTGACATTGGAAACAGACTTCCTTGCTCAAGGTGAAACTGCCTTATTCCAAATCCAGCTTGTCTTCTTTTTTGGTTTTTGTTCAAAGAAATGAAACATTGTTTCATAAATATCTATAAGAGGCTTAAAATAAACACCCTTCTCCTGTGCTGTAAAGCCCCATGCTATTACTGTCTCCTAGTTAAACTCTGCTGGATCAACCATTAATTGTGATTGGACTGCGGGGCTCGGAAGAAAGAGGTATTTAATAATTGAATGCAGAATTTAGAGGAATTGGAATCCTTCCCAGATGTCCATAAAGGAATGAAGAATCTTTCCTCACTTATGGGTAAACGTGCATCTCCCTTAGTTTTGTGGTAGAACCGGGTAAATAATTAATGGAGTTGATAGCTATGTGTTGATTTCAAAATATTTTACAAACATATTTAATCAAACTATTCAAATATTATGCTCTCCAGGAAGAATACAACTTTTCTAAAAAGAAAGAAATCTTGTCTTTCATAGTACAGTGAAACCAGCATCTTAGTAATGAATTTCAGATCCCGATTACAGATTCAAGCTGCAACACAGGTAGTCCTTGACTTACAACCGTTCAATTAGGGACAATTCAAAGGTACAACAACACTGAAAAAAGTGACTTACGGTTGTTTTTCACATGACGGTTGCAGCATCCCCATGGTTATGTGATCAATATTCAGACACTTGGCAACTGCCTTGTATTTATGATGGTTGCCATGCCCCTGAGTCATGTGATCACCCTTTGTGATCTTCTGATGAGCAAAGCCAATGGGGAAGCCAGATTCATTTAACAATCCTGCTACTAACTTAACAACTGCACTGATTCATTTAACAACTGTGGCCAGAAAAGTCATAAAATGGGACACAAAACTCACTTAACAACTGTCTCGCTTAGCAACAGAAACATTGGGGTCAATTCTAATCGTAAGCTGAGAACTATTGTGCTACTGTACCTTTACGATGGTATTATATAAGACTTCCAAAGTCCTAGCAGGCTGGAGCAGGCTATACATTTTATTAAAATAAACAAACTTTGCAGGATCTATTGTGCCTATCCCCAATCTGTTATCCAACAGATGTACTGGAACCCGCGTACCTGCTGTGCATGGATTTCTCCTGGAAGATCTTCTCCACACAGGAGAACCTGCCCAATATATGACATGTGAAAACCTGCTAGTAGTTCTCCAGTTCCCTGAAGTAAAAGGGAATGGAGATTTGCAAGTATTGTTTTTCTAATGCTTGTATCTGTCCCTGGTACAACCTTCTTCAAACGTGACCAGCCTTCCTCTACCTTAGTTTTTCAGGAACCATTGAAAGCCAAGTTATTTTAGGAAATATGAATGTCACAATATATTTATTGATTTTGTTTCTGGACTTATTTGGGTGACTTTCCAAGATATTGTATAACATGATAATTTTAACTATTACTTTCTGTTTTTTTATTGTTTTCTATATGAATACTTGTGTTTACTTCAGCCATATCTGTATCTGCTCAGATACCCAGGACCAAAAGTTTTGAAGGTTTTGTTATATCTAACACAAATCTACACTAATCATCATTGTCACTTTATCAGAATAGCTATTAATATTTAAAAGTATGACTGTTTTTTTAAAAGGTTTTTTTAAATATAGTACCTGGGTTTCCTGGAGTCATAGAATCATAAATGAGTTTGCAAGACTTCAGGAGAATGCTGATTTTCTTTTCTGGAGAATAAGCCTTGGTCATGGTTGTGAATTTATGGAATATTCTCTCCAGCAATGCAGATTCAGGCACACTAGTGGTGACTCCCAAGTCGGTTGTAGTTGTATTTTGTATGACTTGCTGGTTTTCCTTTAGGAGTTTGAAAGATCCATCTTTGTTATGGATTTCCCGTAGGTAAATATCAATGGGCACTTTTAAAGGCTTCAAGACACATTTGTGCAAAGCTGATTCTATTATCATCTCTGAAAAAAAGGGGAAATAAAACACGTCAAAGGAATATACAAGAGAGCAGCAACATAATAAGACCGGAATATTCAGGCTTTGGAACCCGTAGAGATTTACATCAAGACAGCTAATAATGACTCTGTTGTTTTATCTGCCTTGATCCTGACCTCAATTAACTTTCACAGTAAGATGTAATTTTTGGTTTTCTCTGCCATCATTCTGAGCACCTGTCCATATTTGTACAAATTCCATTAGCCGCTTTATAATCAAATTTGAGGGACTAGGTTTTGGTGAAGTCAGAGATAGATCTTCTCTGACCAAAGGCTATTTGTAAATACAGTAAACACCATATTTCATCAGCACTTGAGCTAAGACAGAGCTTTTGTCAAGCACCGTGGAAATCAGGAGATCCAGGCAGTTCAAATAGGTACTCATGATTGATGATGCATTTGACCCCACCCTCACTTGGGCTCAGCCTGGTCATCTCCTACAGCTATAGTGAACAGATGCAACATGTATGTAGGTATGTATGTATGTATGTATGTATGTTCCTCATTTTTCTGCTGGGAATGCCGAAATTCTGGACTTGATTAATACACGTCTCAAAATACTTTAAAATAAAGTTGTTTAGATTATAGTAAACTAAATATTAGGTTAGGTTTAACATTTAATAAATGCATAAAAAAAATCAATCAGTTTCGCCTGCAAGTTCACTCATACCTTTTAATTCTTACCAAGGTCTTTTTACAGAGATGGAGAAAAGAAAAGAATTGCCTCAAGCCATTCTTCTGGAAGAGGCTCTATACAAAGTAGTGTTCAATATTTGAGATATCCAGATAGACAATTCACTTAAGAAAGTATAGATAATCAATTAAAACAGAATATCAAAGAAGATGCTTTTAAAAGTATTTTTTAGTTTTTTCATATGTGCTTGGTTTACTGGGAATTGAACGAAGTAGTCAAAACATAGTGAAGAAAACATAACATGGACATTTAAGGCAATGAGAATAGAGTACACTCAAAGGAAAGTTAAATTCACTTATCTATGGACTAGAAGATTTCTGTCATTTTGCCAAAAGATTTTCGCATTCTTTTAAGAGATGAAAAGGTATATTTGGAAAATTGTAAGTGAAAATTGGTCTGGATGTAACAAGCGAAGTAAGCTCAGGGATAGCTTCAGCATTTTTCCCCAAGCAGTTTCAAGTAATTTCCCAGGGAGTGGCATATTGTAAAGAATTGGAAGCTTTCTATACAAAAATATGGAGATCAGTTCTAGATCAGGAGGAAATATTAACAGCATGATTGTGTAAATAGATGATTCTGTAGGAAGTGGATATGTGGTGGAGCAATTCTTAAAACTTTCATTTCCACATGAGACTCATAGTTGTTTTGATAGCTGCAAAACAAGTATTTTGCTCATGGAATTATTCCATGAAGTATTTCATGAAATACTTTTGCAAACCTAATGTTGAATTCTGCAGGGTAATAGTTCATGATTCTATAGCTCATATTCGACTGAAATTATTGCCTAAGGATTGCAACAAATGAGCAAAATCCCAAGTTTATTTTTGCAAAAGTTCAGCAAGTTGCATCTCATTCTCCTGTCTCAGCCCTAGAGTGTTAACAATCCAAATCAGTCCATGAGATTACAGCCAAATTACTTGATCTTCTTTGTAGCAACTGGAGAAGCAATGATATTGATATATATATATATATATTTTCTTAAGTTTTCACGGGTATTTATATGTATGGTATTCAGCTTTGTTCGGGTATTTTCCCACGTCATTGTAGTTGTGCTTTTAAAGTTGTAGCAACGTTTCGGCAGAATCTCATCTGCCATCATCAGGCTT